AGATTCGCTCTACTTCACCTCACCTTAGACAATTAATCATCTAAACTCAAATAAAACTCAATAAAATCAAAAATATTCACTGACACACACACACACAACCAATCAAACCCACTTACAAAAATCTATCCTATCACTCACTCCTAAGAAGTCCTATAAAAAGACACAAGCGCCAGTGACCAAAAGATTTTCAGTCATCATTGGAAAGGTGCTAAACACTCTGAATTTGTACTATTTATATTGTAAAAGAAATAAAATATGGAACTGCATAAATTCCTACRAATTTTAAAGCACCTACATTATTTTTATTCATATTACCTGTTAAATGATAACATACCTCTAAGGTTTTAACGTCAACTTAGTTTGATTAACTGATTTCAATATGATATTAAATTTAGTAAACGGTTGGRCATCAAAACAAAAAAAACTCACTTTGTTTTATWATCTTAATTTTATTATTATTTTGGGTTTAGGTACCTGCATAGGCGCAACTAGGGGGGTACTTGGGGGTGCTTCAGCACACCCAGCCTTTAAYTTAGCACCACCAGATCAAAAATACTAAAAATGGAAAAATCATATGAAAAAAGTTTTCTTTGTTATACGTAAGATTGTTTTTTATTTGACATTTTTGGTAGAAATACAAATTATTTATGATGATTATAGTTATATAATATGGTTGTATCAAATATTAGTTATGTAATATTGACATTTTTATCTGTTTATACTAGGTTATTGAATGTATAGGTAATATACCTAATGTATTTATGAGGCATACTACTGTTTAGATACTTAAATATTAGTGTGCTTATGTTTTTACAGTACATTTAAGATTGGTTATAGTAATTATAAAATTAAAGAATGGTACTTAGGGATGTGGGGGCGTAGCCCCCACGGACCTGTTTCATCTACATAATTTTAGCACCCCCAGTGTTTGGCCTCTAGTTGCGCCTATGGGTACCTGTAGTCTGTACATTGAATAGGTACATTTTATAAATAAACTTTTTTAAAACACGCGATTACAACGTATATGTATGAGTTGTAATATTTACCAACTTTTTTGGTATCTACAGTTGTAAGTAGGTAGGTATTTAGCATATGGCTATTGGGCATTGKCTGCGTATATATTCAGTCAAGGCGATAGTATATGAAGGTAAAAACAAAAAAAAATCATAGTTAACATTTGATTTTAGAGTTCTGRTGAGTTAAATAAAAAAAAACTTTTGAATGTTCTTTCGGTCAATAATTCAAGAACACTCAACGCTGAAAGTAGCGAACCGTACAAAATCTAGCATGACAAACAACTGAAAAAAAATCCTCACTCTTTCTTTTCAATAGTTTTTCATCTTAGATCATTCCGTTAAAAAAAAAGTACAAATAGGACGTCGGTATAAATATTTATTTTTTTTCAAAAACTCAATTTAAAGCTACACTAAATGACGATGTTTGCTAATGTTATGTTCATCGTTGTACAATATTATAAAAGAATATATTTATTCTGAACATGAAATTGTATTCACGATATTTTTACTGTATAATTATATAGGTATTAGGT